TCTTGTTCAACAAGTGGTTTCTGAGTGCCTGCGATGAGCCAGGCACTGGGAAGTGGCAAGTGAACGAGGCTGACAGAGTCTCTCCTGCACGTGGTTTGTCACCTTTGCATGTCCTATTGTTTAACGTAAGTGTGTTAGTCATCAATTGCCGTACAACAAATTACCTCAAAACTAAGCAGCTTAACACAACTAAAATTTAGCCTCACCTAGTTTCTGAGGAAGCCATGGGTGTGCAAGGAAAGCTGAGATTTTGTTTGTTTTTCCAATCAAACTCTGGCTCAGAAATATATTTATGTATAATATAGTCTGGCAGGAATCTGCGCAGCGTCACTAGGTGATTCCGGCTCAGCATCCCTCCTGACACTGCTGTCAAGATCTCAGCCAGGGTGCAGTCATCTGAGAGCTTCATGGCTGCAGCATCTGCTTCCAGGCTCGCTCCCATGACTGCTGGCTGAGGGCCTCCGCTCCTTATCATGTCGGCTCCCCATACGGTGTTCATTGACACAGCAGCCGGCTTCCCTCCAAGTAATCGTTCCAAGAAAAAGAGAGTAAGCAAAAAGGAAGAGCCAGTGTCTTTTGTCTAATCTCAGAAGTGACACGCCATCACTTCTGCCATAGTCCATTTGGTCAGGGCAGTCCACAAACCGCTCTGGTGCAGTGCAGGAGACTACACAGGGGTCAGGGTCATCAGGGGCTGCCCTGAAGGCTGTCTCCCACAGCAGGGTGCTCGATGGTGGGTGCTCAATAAATGCTTGTTGAAATATTACCCAAACATTTCACAGGTCAAAGTCTCTTCTTTTTAAAAAATATACTTTATTTTTAAATCAGTTTTAGTTCACACCAAAATTAGTGGAAAGTGCAGGAAGTCCCCATGTACTCTATGCACCCCACCCCCACCATGCACGGCCTCCCCCACCATCGGCATCTTGAAGCACAGTGGTATATTTGTTACAATTTATTAACCTACATCAACACATCATTACCATCCAAAGTCCGAAATTTACATAAGGATTCACTCAAGGCATTGTACATTCTGTGGGTTTGGACAAATGCATAATGACGTGTATGCATTACTGCAGTATCACACAGAATAGTTTCACTGAACAAAAAGTCCTCTGCGCTCCACCTAATGATCCCTCTCCCCTCCCAACCCCTGGCGACCACTATCTTACTATTGTCTTCATAGTTTTGCCTTTTCCAGAATGTCATAGAGTTGGACTCAAACAGTATGCAGCCTTTTCTGATTGACTGCTTTTACTTAATCATATGCATTTGAGGTTCCTCCATTTTTTTTTCATGGCTTGATAGCTCATTTCTTTTATTTTTTTAAGAAGTAAGTAAGCGAGTATGCTCATGCCCTGGCATTACTGATTGTGTTATTCTGGAGTGTTTTCAGTCTTCCACTCAGTTTAAATTATTTGAATGGATTACCCAGCTAACCTGCTGCTGCCATGTTACATGAAAAAGTCAATAAATGTGTTTCGAGCAGACCAAATAGCTTGTCTGTCCCCTTAACTGTCTTCTTCCCCTGATGGTCGTGTTCTCTAGCCATCCTGCCAGCACCATTCACGTTCTGCTTGTCTAACAATTTGTGGGAAATCTCTATTCGAAACCCTTGTTATGTTCTATTTAAAATAGACTGTGTTGCATGTGCAAAGTAATCGGGTCTTGCTAAAAGAACTAAGCTCTCTCAGAGAAAGGTCTACGTTCTGTGTGTTGGTTGATGAAGGGACCTTGCACCAGAGGGTTGTTTCTACTAGATTGAAGCCTCAGGTGGAGGGGAAGGGAGGCACTCCTTTTTGGTGGGAAAAAACAGAGCTACATCATTGCACTTGCCTCTTACCGCGAGCTAGCAACACGCATGCAAAGGACGAAGGCAAGGCCCAAGTTAGCAGTACTGTTGGCTGTGTGATTTTCCTCTTCCTGGTCTGCCAAGATTGAAAGTCAGTATAGACTTTATTTTTTTATCCTCTGCTGATGACATGCTTATTAATTTTAGAGAGAGAGGAAGGGAGAGAGAGAGGGGGGAAAGAAACCTCCATGTGAGAGAGAAACATTGATCAGTTGTCTCTTGGATGTGCCCTGACCAGGACCTAACACACAAACTAGGCATGTGTCCTGACTGGGAATCAAACCCACACTCTTTCAGTTTATGAGATGTCACTTCAACTGACTGAGCCACACTGGCCAAGCTGAAAGTCAGTACAGACTTTAAATAAAAGTTGGTGTTCTAATGAGCAGGATTAAAGAAAAAAAATAGCCCTTACTTTTGCGACTGATTGGTTTAGGAAAATGTTTTCATTCCTAGAAGAATGAAGAGGGATTTACTTTTTTGTTTTCCTCCACAAGTGAAAAAATTCCAAGCTCCATGACAATTAGCACTAACCTGGCACTTTATAAATTGTGATGTAGTCACAATTTATAGGTTGTGAATGTATACTGTTTGCACTTAATCCTTAACTGTATTAACATTGAGCTTACTAAATGGATCACCTTAAATTCGGGCAAATTATGTGCCTTGTGCCTCAATAAAAATGTTGCATGTAAAGAAAAAATCTACTTTTTTTCTTGAGAGAGAGAAAAGGATTTCTTGTTGTAATGAACCAGTAAGACAAGATTGAAACAGTAAAAGAATATAGTTTAACTTAATTAAACCTCCAGAGGAAGCAGGAAGAAGGTCAAGGAAAGCCCGTGAGTGGAGAAGCCCGGGGCTGGCTGGGATAAATCTCCGGATAAGAGCATTTTGGCACGGGTGTCTCCCGACCCATCCCAGCAGCCGGTCTGCCGTCATTCCTGTCTTCATCCAGAGAGGAAGCCGGGCTCAGAGCAGGGGCACGGAGCGAGCACTGCGACCGTGACCGTGAGAACTCCCATTTGTACCATACACAGCGCTATGCCCACCACTCTGACTCTCAAAGGAAACAGACTTTAACACTTCGCAACCAGACAGCCAGTGACTCTCACAAGAATAAAAAAAGATGAGATGATACAAGAAGCCTGCATATTTAGGAGCAAAACAGTTTATAGATCCTAGTGTGTCACAAAGGATGAAAAGTTCTGGCAAAGGAGATTTAGGAGGAGTTATAAAGATGTAATTTGGGCGAGGCTTAGTGGAAAATCAGGTTAATGCTTCAAAAATTGCTACTATTGAAGGGCTGACGATAATGTGTCTTCTTGACAGCTTGCTCCAAATTGTGCCCGGTGTTTTTCGAAACTATTATGTGATAGCTTTCTACTCAGCGGCTCTAACAGCAGAATTTTCAATACGACGAGGTAAATGAGTGAGAAAATCTCCCTCACCTGACAGTACCTCTGGGGGGCTGGGGCCCCGACCTCATCACCCCACTTCCCTCACAGTCCCCAAACCTCCTGCAGGCCGCAGAGGAGCTGGTGAGACCCGAGGGGTGACAAGCAGCTCCCCAGGTAGTGCCCTTGCAAACCTAGAGTTACCAAGGAATTATAAACACCACACCATCTTTAAAAACCATTTTGGAACATCAGTTATTTCAGCCTCTTGGTGTCAGCCTTTCTCTGCCCGCACACCGTCCTCCGGGTGCAACACACTCCAGGTGCAGACTGTGAGAACTGGCACACCGGGGCGTGCGCGTTTTGAAAAACGCCCTCCAGTGCTTCTTACTTGCCGAGCTGGGGATCGAGGTAGGCGAGCATGCCTTCCTTTCCGCTGTCATGTGACGTCGCAGGCGAAGGTCAGTGAGCGTCCAGCTTCGGCATGGCCACAGAGAAGGGTGACTCAAAGGAGGAGTCCAGCCGAAAGGTGCCCAGCAGTCAGAGCACCCACAGTCTACCGCCAGCATCTGACACCTGTGTTGAATGGGTTGGACCGAACTATTCATTAGGTCCAGCAGAACACTGCTGTTTGCTATTCTGTCTGGGCCAGAAGCTGGTGAGCCTGGGGTAGCTTCTCAGAAGGAAGTTACTAGGTTTTCCCGTAACTCTAAACCCGAGGGTGCGGCCAGTGGTCAGACCCAGCACACAAACGTGCTTGGCTCATACTCCTTAGTGGCTTTTGTTTTTGTCTTGTTTGTTATTGTTTTAAATTAGTTGTTAACACTTGAAAACAGGGAGATTTCTCAAAATCCCTTCTGGCTTGTCTTAAAAACTTTGGATCTGGCAGCACCTGGCCTTCATCTCCACACCGCAACCTCTTCCAGGCAGGGCGTGAGCTGTTGGGGTCCCGGGCCCACCCGGCCCGCTTGGCTCGTTTCCATCCCTTCCCGGGCTTTGCAGCCCCTGCCTTCAGTTCCCTCCATGTGCTCCAGGTCACGTGGGACAAGGATGTTTTTATAAAGAACACATATCCCAGGCTATTTGCGCTTTCTTCGCTGCTTGGACTAACTCCAGGAGGCGGGTTCCTGTGGGCACGTGAGCAGGAAACATGCCTGGAGGGCTTGTTCCAGAGCACGAAGGGTGGCCACATGATTTCACTTACGTGTGGAATCTGGAGAACAAAATAAGGGAACAAACCAGATTGAAGTGGACTGGTCGATCCAGAGAGCAGACTGATGGTTCCCCGAGAGGGCTTGAGGGGCTGGGTGAAAAAGGTGAAGGGATCAGGAAGTACGAATTAGCAGTTACAAAACAGTCTTGGGGATGTAAAGTACAGCATCGGGAACACAGTCCATGACATTGTAATGCCTGTGGAGGGTGCCAACAGGTACGGGAAACAGCAGGCGGAACACCTTGTGAAGTGTGTGATTGTCTGACCACTTTGCTGCATACCCAAAACTACTACATGCTAATAGTGGATGTCAGCTGTAATAAAAAAATAATTTAGACATCTTTTAAAAGACTGCAGAGGATGGGAGGAGAGGTAGGAGCTGCAGAGCTCCGCATCGTCACAGCTGCATCACAGATGTGCGAGCGGCTCGCTCCGTGTGCACGTCTGCGAGCATCGGGGAGACGTGGGACCAAAGACGGGAAAAGCCTGTGGTTTTCAAGTGTCTTTTCCTTTCCCTCCTCTCCTTACCCGTCTCGTCTAGATCCGTGCCAGAGACGCCGGGCAGGCGGCTGCTGCACCCAGCTGGGCTCCCTGTCGGCCCTGAAGCATGCTGTCCTCGGGCTCTACCTGCTGGTCTTCCTGCTTCTCGTGGGCATGTTCATCTTAGCAGGTAAGACCGCCCTTTTCTGCCCTGGCCTTTAAGGACATGAAAGGAGCCATGGAGGACATAAGGAACTGCCAGAGAGGAACTGGAGAGCTGAGGCCTCCACCCTGTTCCCACAGCTGTGAGCCTCAGCAATGCCCATCTCGCCACGGAAATGTGAAGGAGAAAGTTTTCCCACCAGGCACCACCGTTAGCAGAAGTGCCTGTTTCATTTGCAATGAGTCATTGGCAGGGGCTGTGGGAGCTTGGGACATCTCTGAGTCCAGGAATAGGGACCTAGTTCCTCCCAGTGGCTTCTGACCTTTCCCAACTCGTTGTGCAGCACTATGCATTGTACTGGGTCTCCCTGGAGCTCTGAACTGTGGTTTGCGCAGAGCACGCTGGGCCCCTCGTCCTGGGCTGTGATGAAAGTAGTCATGAGAGACTTTGCTGCTGAGCTCAATCAGGGTCATGGTCAGCCTGCTGTCCTTTTGCTGCTACTAGGGTGGGATGGGTTTGCCCCAATTCATTTGGACTCTTCTCCCCAGTTTCTGTCTGAAGGACAGGCTGGTGGTGATGGGCTGGAGTTTGGAACACTTACTGTAGGCAGGAAGGAGCAGAGCAGGGACGAGGGAAGGGATCAGAGGGAGGACTCCATGCTCTGAGCAGCCCAGTTCATTGCCCGTGGGTCATCCCACCATGACGGAGATAGTGAAGGTATAGAGGCTGTGGTGGTCCCTTCTGACTCCCACCAAACGGGAGAGATGCTCAGTGCCCACCTTTCTCCATGGAGGGATGTATGTGAGGCTTACCAAAGTAAGTCAACAGATCAGTTTATTCCAACCTCACTTGTCTTACATGAGTGCCTGCTTTGTGCCAGGTTCCCGCTAAGATTGAAGACACAGCTGAAATAAGGGCCAGGGGCTTCCTGAAAGGAGCTCCCAGTCTAAGGGATGAGGCAGGGACACGCAGATGGAGCCCTGCAATGGGGGCTGTGGTGGGGACTGTAGTGCTAACGCAGAGGATGCACACACAGTGCAAGTGTGGGTGTGGCGGGTGGGGGTGGGTCAGAGCAAAGCCGTGGGCCAGGCGGAGCTGACTGGGAGTGCTGAGGGCAGGGCCCCGGGTAACCTCTAGGGAAGGAACCTGAAGGTTAAGCCCTTGCAGATGACCCTTTGCTAGGAGTTCTGAGGCAGATGCTTAGGACCTCCCTGGTCTGGCCTCACTTTCTGGGAAGTGAAAACAGTCACCTGGGCCTGGCGACAGGATGTTCAACGCCGCCTTCACTCTCGGGTTTCCGCACTCAGGGAAAAGGGCATCCTCAGGGTGGCGTCTGTCCCACCGACCATAGACCTGAAGGGCAGCCAACAGCAACAAGGAGGGAAACTCATGATTCATCCCAGGAACGATGTCCAGCTGGAGGATGATTTGAACATGTTCTTGGGCTGTTCAGGGAGAGATTGGGATCTGGGTTTTGTGGGCTTAGCAGCCACAACCATAACAAATTTCCAGAATTTTTTGGAAAGTGTTTCAGCCCAACAGGAAAGCAGGGTTATGATATTACAACTTCTCTGCTAAATGGGAACTTGTAGGTGACAGAGGAGGGTCCAGAGCAGAGTCAGGCTGTGGTGGGGGCACCCAGGGGCAGGTCTCCAGAGGCCCAGAGGGCCTGGAAGGGCGTCCTCTCTTGGGAAGGGAAGGGGATGCAGGGGATAAAGCTTCTCCCAAGAGCTGCCATGCTGGAAAGAGCAGATATACTCTATGTGGCCCCAGAGGGTAGAAATATACAAATGGGTGGGTTTCGTCAAGAGACAGATTTCCATTCAGAGGAGAGGAGAGCCCTAACAGGGAGGGCTGCCCAGAACGGTGAAGGAGGGCCTTTCTCTCGGCTCGGGGTCTGGGTGGAGTGTACGACAGCATCCTGAGAGTTTCAGAAAGGAAGATGGGACACGGTTTCTCAATCTAATGAAAACGTTGCCACACTTCCTTGGTTGTCCCATGTGGAAACGGGGGTGGGGGGGTGGGAATTGTGATCATTACCTCCTTTGAACTCCTCTGAAGTCCCTGGGTACCAGATGGCCTGCGTGGAATACAAATTTCGGTTGGATTGGAACGGATCTGATGAAACGAAGCATCGTCCTTTTACCTCTCAGTTCGTTGGCGTGGCCACTGTCCCCACCCCAGGTTCTCGTCTGAGAAATCAGGTTGGCCTCTGGGAGAGATGTGGTGAGGGGTCATCAGTGAACGATACAGTCACCAGCTGTCTCTCCCCTAAGGAGGGGCTTTAGGCATTCAGTGGACAAGTCTGGGCGTTTTGAAGGAGACCCTGCCTAGCCTTAGGCAGCAAGGAAGTCTTCTCAGATTACCCTGACTGAAGACCTCCAGCAAGGCTTCCTTTCAGAAAATATCAGGAGGATGGGGACACCAATGGTTCAGCCAATGGTAAGCCAGAGCTTGCCGGGGCCTCTGTTACCTGTCCTGCTGTGGCCATTTCCCTATCTTGGGCTAAACGTGCTCCCCAGTGCCTTGCTGAGTTCACCTTGCACAAGACGTGCTATGGGCTGCACTGCATCTGCCCCTCAAATTTACATATTGAAGCCCTAACCTTCAGGGTGTTGGCATTTGGAGGGGGGACCTTTGGGAGATAATTAGGTCATAAAGGTGGGGCCCTGATGATGGGACAAGTGCCCTTCCGAGAAGAGATGAGAGAGAGATCACGTGAGGAGACAGGGAGAAGAGGCCATCTGCAAGCCGGGAGGAGCGCCCTCACCAATAATCGGATCTCCCTGCACCTTGATCTTTGACTTGCCAGCCTCCACTGTGACAAAAACGTCAGTTGGTTGAGCTACCTCGTCTGTGGTACCCTAGCTAAGACAGGAGGAGTTCTGTCTGAACCACTCTTAGACTTCAAAACTTGTTCATCAATAAAAAGGTCACACATCTTACAGCTGGGTGACAAAATTATCCCCCACAACCCAGCAGCATGTCTGCAAACCTGGTTGGTGACACATGGTTGGCGTACAAATGCTTGCACTTACTCTTTTTCAATATCATGAAATGATAATCTAATTATACAAAGTCTTACTCTAGAAAACCTCACATGGAACTTCTCTCAGTTCACCTTTCTTTCTAAACATCGTTCCAGATTCATTTTTGAACGGTACAGAAGTTCAAACTTCACGAACAAGAGAACTGAGATTGAATGGTCGTGTGGTCAGGAAGTCCTCAGTCTGGCACTGTAGCCAAGATGTTCCCTGCTGGACTTTAAGGGTTAGAGGAGGTTCCATTTTATCCATGCCTATTTTGGACATCACATGGTTATCAGAAATCACCTCTTCCTCCCCTGTCCTGTCATCAAGGAACTTGAACTCCCAGAGTGAAAATGAAACAGCAGAAAGGGGAAGTGTGAACATCTGGGGGCCTACCCGGTGGGAAGCTGGAGCAGCGCAGCAACCTGGGCCACAGAACAGGACCGGGGAGAGCTCCCAGTGAGGTGTCATTTTGTCACACGGGCTGACTAGGAGGGCCTGGGGAGGAGTTATTTTCTGTCTTAGAAGGAGCTTTGCTGTCCTTGAGGAATTAGTTTCCACCTTTGGGAGACTGAGAATCTGACAGTAATTAAAATTGCTTTCAAGGAGGTAATTAATGCACTTTGGGAGTTAGTTTTCATCCCACTGTAAGATGTGTGAATTTGAAGATAATTAAAATGCAAACCTGGGGACAGAGGTGTGGTCCAACCACAGCAACTTAGAGACTTTGTGGGAGGACCTTCCTGTTGGCCTGGCTCCTCCCTCCTTTTTGATATTCCCACCTGTTTTCCCTGTATCTCCTTCTCCTCCACTGTTACCTTGGTGTAGTGTAGGTGTCTGTATAAACTGCCTTAATCCTTTCTGGAACAAGAAAGGCTGTTATGCATAGTTTTGTCTTTGAAAAAAATCCTGCCTCCTCTATTTAATTCTGCAAGTGCATGATTTCTCACAAACATGAATGGTTAAGTGAATGAAAGAGACAGGAACCTTGGAAGGGATCTTAGCTGTAGGAAAAAGATGATTATTTCAGTCTTAGCCAAGTATCTAAATACAGGGAAATACAGAATCACTGCTGAAGGGCATGTGCCAGTAGAAGTAGGTGTGTAATTAATTATGTCCACGCACACGTCACCGTATACACAGCATTGGCATCCGAGCATTTACGGACACTGTCAACACAGGCAGGATCGTGCATTACCCTACGCTGCTGCTTAACACCGTGGACTTTCGGATCCGCCTGGCTGGGTTCGAGTTCCCACCCTGACCCCTCCGTTTCCAGCTGTGTGACGTTGGCCAAATGACTTGACCTTTCTGGACCTGAGTTTTCTCATCTGAAACTGTGAGGAATAAGTATGTCTGCTTCACTGGGTTGTTTTCATAGTAAGCATGATAAAAATAGTAGCTGTTATTGTTGTCGTTATAGCATTAGTTCTACCACTACCATTAGTATTATCGCTTGTTTTCTCTTGGCTTTCTTTGCAGTCAATTAAGCTGGATGATGATGTGAACTGAGAGTTAGAAAAACTTGGGTTTGGTCCCAGCCCATCCATTAACACTCTGTAATCTCGGGGAAAATCTCTTTGCTATCTGAGCCTTAGTACACTCACTTTGTAAAATGAACAGGTTGGACTGGATTCATCTTTCTCAAAGTTTTTGGTCATGAGTAAGAAATATATTTTAGACCTGGTCATCTAAAGTAAGAAATATATTTTAGACCTGGCTGGTGTGGCTCAGTTGTTTGGACATCGTTCCGCTAAGCAAAAGGTCACAGGTTCGATTCTAGTCAGGGCACATGCCTGGGTTGCAGGCCATGACCCCCAGCAACCACACATTGATGTTTCTCTCTCTCTCTTTCTCCCTCCCTTCCCTCTCTGGAAATAAATAAATAATTTTTTAAAAAAAGTTATGATCTAAATATGTTTTTAAAAAAGAAATATACTTTACATCACAATCAGTTCACACACATTCACATATATATACAATAGTCTTAAATGTGTA